AGCTCTGTCACTTGCCAGAAGCGGCCGACGGAGGCCCCCTCCCCCGCCATCTATCCTCCGGAATATCGCCTCGGATCCACTTCTCCGCACATCCTACCTTCCAGAAAGTGGTCGCTTTTCTGTTCAGGGAGTTGCTGCTATTCTTTTCTTCGATCTCCCGTTGAGTTCGTAGGTGTTCAGAATGGTTTGATCCCCATCCAGCTGAGTTCCTGAGACCAGACGAAATCCAGGTCTCCTACTCCTCCGCCATCTTGCTCCTCCAAAACTCACTAGTTTTAAGTATTCACTTAAATGAAGCTTAGTATATGGGGTGCCTGGGTGGCTCAGTCAGTTAAACGTCTGACTCTTGGTTTCCACTCAGGTTATGATCTCTGAGTCGAGAGATGGAACCCCGCGTTGGGCTCTCTGCTTAATGGGGAGTCTCCTTGAGATTCTCTCTCCCTCTCCCTCTGCCCTCCCACTTGTGCTCTCTCTCTCTAAAATAAATAAATCTTAAGAAAAAAATGACATTTGGGGGCACTTGGTTGGCTCAGTCGTTAAGCGGCTGCCTTCAGTTCGGGTCATGATCCCAGGGTCTTGGGATCGAGCCCCACATCGGGCTCCCTGCTCTGCGGGGAGCCTGCTTCTCCCTCTGCCACTCCCCCTGCTTGTGTTCCCTCTCTCACTGTCTCTCTGTCAAATAAATAAATAAAATCTTTAAAAAGAAATTGACTTAATTTATTTACAGAGTTATATATCTGGAACCATGATCTAATTTAGAACATTTTTATCACCATAAAAAGAAACCTTGTGCCCATTTACGGTTGGCCAGTCCCCATTTTTACTCCCTAGCCTTGGGCAACCACTATTCCACTTTTTGTCTCTTTGAGTTTGCCTTTCCTGGACATTTCATATAAATGGAATCATATGATATTTGGCCTTTTGTGGCTGTCTTCTTTCACTCAGCATTTCACTCTGTTCCTTTTTATTGATGAATAATATGCTGTTGCAGCACATTTTATTTATCCACCCACCAGTTGGTGGAAATTTGGGTTTTATAATTTTTGACTATTGTGAATAATTCTGCTTCAAATATTTATATTCAAGTATTTGTGTGGACATAGGTTTTTATTTATCTTGGGTAGATAACGTTGGCATTTTGGGTAGACATCTCCGGTTTTCTGAAAGTGAGATACTGAGTTTTACTTTTTTCCTAAGGTCACCTTATTAGGTGATAGATTAGGACTAGAACCCAGGTTGTAAATCACTGAGATTTTCAATGATTTCAATCCTACTTCCCACCCTACAGAGGGCCTGAGAAAAAGGGCTTAAGACAGCTAAATGGAACTAGAAGGCAAAGAGATGCAGTAAAAATGAACTAGTCCGCGTGCCAAAGCCTGGACCATATCCCCCACTCTGCAGTTAGATGAGCCCCAGGAGCCCCAGAAATATTAGCAAGACAAATTAGCCCTTCATGGTTAAAAAAGTGCATTCTCCCACTGGAGGGTTTGGAGAATAATTAGCCAGAACCTGGGAAGTTGAAATGTTGTCAACAGAACACCAGTGCAAATCAACAAGCCCTGAACTGTGAGGCTGCTGTAGGGCCAAGGGGAGGTCTGAGATCAGCCTCGCCCAGCTGGGCACTCGGAGCTGGCCTTAGTGGACTCTGGTACCATACTGCTGGGCCTGTTGTGCTGGGTCCTGGAGCAGGATCTGGAAGCTTCTTTCAGAAAAGTAGGTTGAGAGATGAGGGAAAGGGAAACAAGATGACCTACAATTCTGCAACAGCTTTTTAGTTAGGCTCCTCACCCCCCTGTCATCCCTCTTCTAATCCATTCTGTAAGGTAGAGAGTGATGTTCCTGAAACACACAGTTGATCACTCAATCTGCTTCAAAACTCTCCCATAGGGGGCGCCTGGGTGGCTCAGTCGGTTGAGCATCTCCCCTTGGCTTAAGTCATGGTCCCAGGGTCCTGGGATGAGCCCTGCGTGGGGCTCTCTGCTCAGCAGGGAGCCTGCTTCTCCCTCTACCTGCTGCTCCCCCTGCTTGCGCTCTCTGTCAAATAAATAAATAAAATCTTAAAAGAAAAATAAGTAAAACTCTCCCATAAATCCTGACTGCCCTCGGGCATAGTTAATTCAACCACATCTTCCTGTCCTTCAGGGCAGTTCCTGTCTGCCAGGACCCACATAGTGAGTCAAGCACTTTTCTCAGGGTGGGGACACTGAGATGCGGGAGGTGCCAGTCAATGTTCCATTTCATATAACCCTATTATATGGTCGTGGCGTAATTGTGTGTCTCCCTCACTCGACTCTAAGTACAGGGACAGTTGAGGCAAGGGCTCTGCGCACGGTAGGAACCACAGGACCTAGCACCGTCCAGGGCACACAAAAGAAGGACTTCAAAAAAAAAAAAAAAAAGGACTTCAGTGTAGACTTGGGCTTCGTACAAGCAAGGAGTGTTCAGTAATAGAGATTAGGGCTAGAGCAGGGAGATCTGCTTAGTGCAAAAAGAATGAAATAGAAGCCCAGGTATCTCCCCTCTAAGGCAATTTTGGAAATTTCAGTTGAGGGCCAGAAACCACCATCTGGAGACTGATCTTTACCCCAGGCCTAACAAAATGCTTTGCATAGAGACACAGACTTCTAAAGCTATGTAGCAATAATCACACATAGGGAAAGTCCCAGAGCCTTAGTTTCAATAGAGTAAATTTAATTAAAGGGTTTATGGGTTAGGAGGGATGTAACTGTTATATAATATATAAAATTGACTGAGCGCTTACTGTGTGTCAAGTATATTTCTAAATGCTTGACATGTATCAACTCAATCCTTAAAACAACCCGATGAGGTTGGTAGTCTTATCATTTCCAGGGTTATAGGCGAGTTATATAAAGAATAAGTGATTTGCCCTAAGTTATACAGCTAGTAAATGCAGAGCCTGAATTTAAATATCTAAGTAGTCAAGTTTCCGAGTCTGTGCACTGACTCATCATCAATCAAGGACTGGGATCTTAAGCTTCCTGCTCCAGCAGAAAAGTTTCCCGCAGTTGTTCCTCCTGGATGAGAATAAGGTACAAACTCAGCCTCTCCACATCTGCGCCAATGTGGATCTCCTGCCTGAAAGTGGGGTCTCCCCAAGTGCCCTCTGTGCAGCCCTCACCGGATACTTCACTCTTCCTCTGAAAACGCTGCAGACTTGTGCCTGTCTTTCCAACCTTGTCATCTGCTGGGCCTGCAAACTCCGACTATAAATGGCCTTCTTTCGCCTTTCCTCCTCCTCCAGGCATGAATAGCCACCCTTTCCCCACATGCCTCCACCGAATACTCTTCACGTCTCTGGAAAGTTAAGGCTGCATCCGTCTGCCCCTCTCACTGCGGGCTTCCTAAGGACAACAATCGTGTCTGCTCTGGACGCCAACCTCATCCGGCAGAGAAATTCAACGAAACACGTCTAACAACCAATATTACTGAAAAGAAATTTATCTTGTCTAAGTCTGGCAAATAACGTTGAAGGGAAAATCCCAATTAACACATAGACGACATGCTTTTGAGATACACATTTGCTATCTCTCAACCCCATGGAATTTACCCCCAAATCTCTCTTTTCTCTCTCTTTTTTTAAAGATTTTATTTATTCATTTGACAGAGAGAGCGAGAGTACAAGCAGGGGGAGTGGCAGGCCGAGGGAGAGGGAGGCAGAGGAAGGGGGCGGGTAGGGAGAAGCAGACTCCCCGGTGAGCAGGGAACCCAAAGCAGGGCTCCATCCCAGGACCCTGGGATCATGACCTGAGCCGAAGGCAGACGCTTAACCAACTGAGCCACCCAGGCGCCCCTCTCTTTTCTTTCTCTGAATGCTCATGGAGAACCCAGCTGTGTCTGATCTTTTCTCTTGCCCACAGTCTCTCCCCTTCTAGATCTTTTCTATCTCAGGACAGCAACGCCCCCCACCCCCACCCCAGGATCACCAGGGACCCTTCCTCCTATCTTGTGATGTTGCCTGAGTCATGGCCATGGACTGGCTTCCTCATCAGTGGCTCAAACTGGTTCTTTGAGTTGTTTTCTTGCCTCAACTAGACTGTAAGTTTCTTAAAAACAGCAGAACTAATTTAATTGAACAGCCAACTTCAATAATAATGACCCTAAGAAGGCATTCTGTATTTCAACAACTCTTAGATGCATTATAAAATACATCTGACGTCTGAGAAGTTCATATGTGAAAAAAACAAGTGTCTTAGATGAAATATGGTGTTATTTCTATCCTGCTGATGCACAATGAGTGAGATATAACACTTTTCCACACCCACTAGCTGGCTTGCAGTGCCTTGGGCGCACCAGGCACACTCTGCTTCTCTGTTTTTGCTCTTGCTGTCCCTTTACCTGGAATGCTCTCCCCATGAGCCTTATTCCCTCACTTCCTTCAGCTCTTCGCTGAAATGTCACCTTCTTGGTGAGGCTTTCCTTCACCCCATCTAACATTTGCAACACTCCCTCCCTGCTTTTCATTTTTTTATACTGATTTTTCTCCATAGCATTTATCACGTGCTGACAGATTATCTATCACTTATTTGTTTATTGCCGGTGTATTTCCACTAGAATGTCAGCTGGAGAGGGCAGGGCTTTTGTTTGTGGCTGTTGTCCTCAGTGTCTAGAACAGTGCCTGACACATAATAGGCAATCAGTAAGTATTGTTGAATGAATAGAGTTAGAGCTTCCTGAGGCCAGGGACGTGTGTTTCTGCTCACCATTTATATCCCCAGTGCCTAACACAGTGGCTAGCAGGCAGTGGGCTCTCGATAAATATTTATGGACTGAGGGAAGCACGAAGCTCTCTGATGAACGAGGTAACTTGCTTAAGGTCATCTAGCTTGGCAAGGGGAAGAGCAAGCAGGCCAATTCGGCTGACTCGGAGGCCTTGTGTTCTACCGGATAGTGACTGCCTAATTCTGCTTGCGGGAAGGGACTTTTATGAAAAGATTTTCCTCCGGTCTTCCCAATGTGCAGTGCACTGCTTTGCACATAGCATGGCTGCAGTAAGTATTTATAATGTGTTTTAGTCCAGTGTGTTATTGCAACTAGGCCATAGTCGCTTTAGTTCCTCAGGGGTAGTAAACCCGGGATGCAGGTGTCCGCCGGCCCCTCAGAGGAGTGGTGAACAAACAGTACAAAGCGCGCCCGCCTATCTGCCATGGGCTTTCCAAAATCCAGGCTGAGGAGCGTACTAGCCTCTTCAGTACGTTGACCATGACCATTTAACACCCCCCCGCTCCCTTTTTGGGTTCGGAGGACCTCTCCTGGCGATCTCTCCTCCTTTAGATGCGAGACGGGCGGGGAAATGACGGGGAGGAGAAGGAAGTCCCCTCACGCCTCCCCCGCCGCCTCCGC